TATACCCAATTATTGCAGGTTTTTATCATGTAAGGATGCTGGATTTTGTCAAATGCTTTTCCTATATGCACTGGGATGATCATATGGTTTTTATACTCCATTTTGTTAATGTGGAGTATCTTATTGATTTGCAAATGTTGGATCATCCCTGAAATAAATCCCACTTAATCATGGCATGATCCTTTCAATGCATTTTTCAATTCAGTTTACTAACATTTTGTTGAGGAGTTTTGCATCTATGTTCATTAGGGATATTGACCTTAATTTGTTTTCTTCCTTGTAGTGTACGTACCTGGCTTTGGTATCAGGGTAATGCCTGATACTCTTCTATTTTTGGAAGAGTTTGAGAAGGATTGTTGTTAATTCTTCTTTAAAAATTTGGTAGACTTCTCCAATGAAGACATCTGATCCTGGACTTTTCTTCACTGAGAGGTTTTGACTGATTAGATCTCTTTACTAGTAACTGATCTGTTCAGATTTTCTATTTCTTCATGAAATGAGGCCTTGAAATGTTATATACTTCTAGAAATGTATCCATTTCTTCTAGACTGCCAAATGTGTTGGCATATAATTGTTTGTAGTGTTCTGTAAAGATTTTATTTCTGTGGCGTCAGTTGTAACATCTCTTTCATTTATGATTTTATTTATGAGCTCTCTCTTTGTGAAGAGTTTGCTTAAGGTTTGTTCATTTTACCTATCTTTTCAATGAACCAACTTTAGTTTTAATCATTTTAATTGTTTTTAAATTTCTATTTTGTTTATTTCCACTCTGATCTAATTGTTTCTATTCCTTTCCTTCTGTTTATGCTGGGTTTTGTTTATTCTTTTTCCAGTTCCTTTAAGTGTAGAGTTGGAGTTAACTGGAATTTTCTTGTTTCTTGAGGTAAGACTGGTTAGCTATGAACTTCCCTTTAGGAACTGTGTTTGCTGCATCTTATTCTGAAAACTTGGTATTTTCCTTTTCATTTGTTTCACATAGTTTTTGACTTCCTGTTTGAGTCCCCCTTTGATACACTGGTTGTTTAAGAGCATTCTGTTTAGTCTCCAAATGTTTGTGGTTTTTCCAGTTTTCTTCCTGCAGTTGATTTCAAGTTTCATGACATTGTGGATGGAAAAAATGCTTGATATGTTTTGTTGCCTAATAGGTAATCTATTATGGAGAATGCTGCACATGCACTTGTAAAAAGAATATTCTGTAGGTTTTGGATGAAATGTTCTATAAATATCCATTAAGTCCATCTGATCTAATGTGTACTTAAGGCCATTGTTTCCTTATTTTTCTGTCTGGATGATGTATCAACTGATGTGAGTGGGATATTAAAATCCCCTATTATTATTGTATTACTGTGTAACACAACTGCTTAAGTGTTGTATTTTTTAAGTTTTAATTTTAAGAAAGTGTTATTTTACAAAAAGCTTTCAGTAATTTGAAAAAAAGCCCTGATCGGTGTGGCTCAGTTGACTGGAGCGATATTTCATAACCAAAAGGTTGTGGGTTCAATTCCCAGTCAGGGCACATGCCTGGGTTGTGGGTTAGATCCCCAGTCCAGGCTTGTATGATCCCCAGTCTAGGCATGTGTGGGAGGCAACCAACCTATGCTTCTGTCTCACATCAATGCTTCTCTCCCTTTTTTTCTCTAAAAACAATGAAAAATGTCCTCAGGAGACAATTTAAAAAATAAAAAAATAAAAAGACTTTAAAAAGAAAAATTTGAGATAATAATATAAAAGAAACAAAAAGAGCAACAGACAAAATTATATATACAGTTTTGTTTTAAATATATTTTAGCATATAAAAGAAACTGTGAAAGAATATTTCAAACTGTTATCAGTGGGACTTCCAGTTAAGATGGCGGTAGAGGTAAACACAACTTGCCTCCTCGCACAACCACATCAAAAGTACAACTAAAATACAGAACAGCCATCACTCAGAACCACCGGATACCAAGTTGACTGGAAGTATGACAACTACGAAATAAGAAAACCACATCCCTCCAGACTGATGGGAGGGGCGCAGATGCAGCACAGGCTGGTCCCATATTCATGTGTGGTGGATAAAAATTTGGGAGGGCTATCTTGGGAGTGAGGAGTCTCAGTCTCACACCAGGCCCCCCTGCCTAGGATTCCAGTGCCAGGAAGATAAGTCCACATAACTTCTGGCTGTAAAAACCAGTGGGGAACCCACACACAGACTTACTCAGACTCACTCCTTCTGAGCTCCAGCACCAGGGCAGCAGCTTGAAAAGCACCACTGGCACACAGGGAGGAACTGGAGTGCTGGCATCAAGACGAGAGCTGAGGGACCACTTTCTCTCACAGAGAAAGGTGGGCAGAGGCCACTGTGCCTTTTCTGAATCCTCCCCTGACACAGCCATACAGCCAGCAGGATGGTGACATATCTGAGACTCCGTCAACCTGGCTAACACTTTATGCCCCGCCCTGGCGATCTCCAGAGACTCCATCCCACCCAGCTTATGGGCCCACCCAAACTACTTTTCTGTATGAAGGCCTGGTCTTGACTCATGCTTCACAACTTCCTAAAGCCTCTCAAGCAAGCAATAGCCAGCCTAAGTGAGGCCCTACTCTCTGTACCTCTTGCTGAGTGGCCCCAGGCCCAGCACTAGCAGCTGCCAGCCTAGATTCACAGCTTGGCTTCACCTGGGAATCCCCAAGCACAGCACAATAGCAGCCATCTCAGACTGCTTTATAGCTCAGGCAGGGAGGCCATGGAAAGAACACAGGTGGGAACTGAACTTGGCCTGCACCACCCAGGAAACCCCAGAGCCAGTGCACCCAGTGGAGAGCCAGAGACCAGGTTGGAACACTACCACCTTGCCCCTGTTGGTGGCCAGTGGTCACAGCCAACCCTTGCAGCTAACTGGCCTGGGTAAATCCCTCCCATTGACCTAACAATAGCAATCAAGTCTCAGCTACAAGAGGAGGGTGTACTCAGCCCACACAAAGGGAGCACCTCAAGTACCCAGCTTGGATGATAGGGGAAGCTGTTCCATTGGACCCTACAGGACACCTACTACATTAGGCCAGGCTACCAAGACAGGGAGTAATAGAAGCTCTGTCTAATACATAGAAACAAACACAGGAAGGCTGCCAAAACGAGGAGACAAAGAAACATGGCCCAAATGAAAGAACATATCGAAACTCTAGAAAAAGAAGTAACAAAATGGAGATATGCAATTCATCAGATGCAGCAGAGTTCAAAACACTGTTTATAAGGATGCTCAAGTTACTTAGGGAGGACTTTAACAGCATAAAAAAGACCTAGTCAGAAATGAAGGAGGTACTAACTAAAATAAACAACTTACAGAAAAATAGCAGTAGAGTAGATGAAGCCCAGTTTCAAATCAATGATTTGGAATATCATAAAAAAGCAAAAAACAACCAATCAAAACAACAGTAAAAAAGAATCCGAAGACACGAAGATAGTGTAAGCAGCCTTCTTTAAGCACTCCTTCATTCACAACTTCAAGCACTCCAACATTTACATCATAGGGGTACCAAAAGGAAGAGAAAGAACAAGAAACTGGAAATCTATCTCAAAAAATAATGAAAGAAAACTTCCCTAATTTGGTGAAGGAAATAGACATGCAAGTCCAGGAAGCGCAGAGGGTCCCAAACAAGATGGATGAAAAGAGGTCCATTTCAAAACATGATAATACGTCTATTAACATCTATAATACATCTAATATGTTAATACATTTATTAACATTTTGCCGTGTCTAACACACTCCCATGTATAATGAGCACCCATGTTTTTGGCCCAAACTTTCAAGAAAAAATATTTTGTTTTTTTAATTCAATTTTTAATTTATTTATATTTAGATAGATATTTTTGTATTATAAAGGAATTTCTGTATTTATTTTTGAACATATTATTGTACAAGAAATTTTATGTAACAAATAATTATAAAACACAAGAACAGATACAAGGTATTTCAGCTACTACCCATGTATAATGCACATCCATATTTTTCCCTCAAAAACTTGGGCAAAAAAGGGTGTATTATATATGGCAAAATGCAGTAAAATGCCAAAGGTTAAAGATAAAAAGGGAATCTTAAAAGCAGCAAGAGAAAAGAAGTTAGCTACCTACAGAGGAATTACCATAAGACTGTCAGCTGATTTCTCAGAAGAAACTTTGCAAGCTATAAGGGATTGACAAAAAATATTCCAAGTTACGAAAAGCAGGGACCTACAGCAAAGATTACTGTACCCAGCAAAGATATCATCTAGAATCAAAGGGCAGATAAGAAGCTTTCCAAACAAGAAAAAACTAAAGGAGTTCATCATTACCAAACCATTGTTATATGAAGTGCTAAAGGGACTTACTTTAGAAAAAGATGATCAAAACTATGAATAATAAAATGGTAATTAATATATATCTATCAAGAACTGAATCTAAAAATCAAACTAAGCAAACAAGGAGAACAGAGACAGAATCATGGATACGGAGAGCATTTTGATGGCTGCCAGATGGGCATGGGGCGTGGGGGAATGGGTGAAGAGGTGAGGGGATTAAGAAGTACAAATAGGTAGTTACAGAATGGCCATGGGGATGTAAAGTACAGCATAGGAAATGGAGTAACCAAAGAGCTTATACACATGACCCATGGACCCGAACAATGGTGTGGGGATCGCCTGATTGACTGGCGGGTACTGGATGGAAGGGGGCAAAGCGGAAAAAAGTGAGACAACTGTAATAGCATCATCAATAAAATATAATTAAAAAAAAATGTTATCAGTGATTGCAATGACTACCTCCTGATAAGAAATTACGAATTTTTCCTGTTTTGTATTTTAAATACTTACTATCTGTGTAATTAAAACCCTAACCACAATGTACTAAAACCAGTAATACAAAAAACCATACTATTAACACTCAGGTATTAATTTTGGAAAAGAATGGGAAATGGCCTAAACGAAGTGATACAGCACACGACCACCGCACTCACCACCAAATCAGAGTACTGTCTTTTACCTACCGGTGAATCTGTCCATTTTTGTGCAGGTATTCCAACCCTTCCAACACCTCTTTGAGTATTGTCGCAATGGTAGGTTCATCTAGGACTCCGCTTTTGTGTTCCCCCTTTGCCACAATGTGCTTAATAATATCCAGAACAGAACCTGAAAACAGAAGACACAGTTTCCTATAAATGTTTAACTTACTCAATGATTCAGAGTCATTTTGAAACCAAAACACATGTAAACCTTTTGATAAATTTAATTGTGTGGAAAAGAAAGGAAAAAACAGCCCTGGCTGCCATTGGCTCAGTGGATTGAATGTGGGCCTGCAAATCAAATGGTCACCGGTTCGGTTCCCAGTCAGGGCACGTGCCTGGGTTGTGGGCCAGGTCCCCAGTGGGGGCTGTGCAAGAGGTAACCACCCACTGATGCTTCTCTCCCTCTCTTCCTCCTTCCCTTCTTCTCTGTCTGGAAATAAATAAATTCCTTTTAAAAATTAAAAAATAAAGAAAGGAAAAAACAGAAAATAAAGGAAATGTGAAAGTTTAAAAGACATAATAATTTATTCTCAATGTCAATCTAGAACAGAAAGAAGACTGCTAATATCCAAACAGCAGTGTTACACCACCATCATCTTTAGACTTCAAATGAGAATTTGGAAAAGGTAGTAGAGCATTTTTAACACCTCTAAAGAATACGTAGGTTAACCATGCCCATCAATTGACACTTTAATATAAGATATCACAAACTGACTTAGGTTTCAACACCAAATTAGAGTATGTAACACCATGTGAATAAAGACAGAAAAATACAAGTGAAACACAAGTCAAATTACGTAAGAAATACTTGAAAAATAAAGGCCACATGTATATTCAGACTAACTTAAGGATTGCAATTATGTTTCAGGTTGATAAATAATGGAAATAAAATAGGGAAGGCAAAGAAAACTATGAAAAAAATAAAAACGGCAGTTCTTTTTCAGTAATAGCCCAGATGTATTATCACCAATCCCCTTCTTCCCAGGACAGGAAATAATGCTCCTACTAAAAATTAGGGGAACGGAAGAAAGAGACCTACACAGAAATTAAACCATAGAAAGCTGACTACCATAACTGATGATTATAATTTTTAGCAGCTGGCCAGAGATCTGTGCGATTTCTGTTAGAACAGTGGCCCACTAAGACCACGGAACCAGAACAAACGCCCTCCGGCGTCAGAAACCACACTGAGAACTCCGCCACTGCACTGGGAAGACCGGAGGCCCACTTCTTGGCACAAGACCTTAATGGTCAGGACTGAAATGAAAACAAACACACGATTCTGTTGAAAACTTGCTGTGGCGGGTCCCTTTCACTTCACCCTTAAAAAGAAAAAATGTGCTTCCAGACAGATGAGAAGAGCAGTCTAGAAGGAATCTTTGAAAACACGGGAAGGTGGAACCCATGCTTACTTTAGCTCCCATTTGAAAGTCGCTAACATGATAAACTTGATTTTTTTTAAAAAACGCATAAACTCAGAACAAAGGAGAGAAAAAATCGTAACAGATGAGAGACAATAATAATTTGGGGAAGGAAAGCAGAGAAAGAAAAAGTAACTGACTAAGCAGAGTAGACAAATCTGAAACTTCAACGTCTGCAGAGAAGGTATGCCAATGCAGAAAAAGTGATCCCTGCCCAGAAAGGCTCAGAACATAGGGACCACGTAAGGGGAAGTGAGGGGGAACTGATGGAAAGGGTGAAAACAGGAAAATGGTTGAAAGGTCATAAGGGAGAATAGGATCCCCAAACCCAAGGTCTACCCCCACCCCGCACCCCAATCTCTGTACCTCCAGCAGGAGAAAGGCAGTTGACTCTCTCTAGACAAAGAACTGGGGGCAGGGGTGCTCCAGGTACTAGGTAACTTCTCCTAATACATTACCTCCCCTCCCCTCTTTACTGCTGGGATTCACAAGACTGAGCCACAAAGGGGGAGCCCTCAGCCACCACCAAGGGCAGGCTAGGGTAGGCCAAACCACGCTGAAGGCACTTCAGCTCCACAAAGGGGGAGGCCTAAGGAGTAACTTTTGTTCTGCTTAGTTCTAACCAATCACACATTAATCCCCAAAACAAAGTGACTACACTAACAGGCCACATAGTTCATTCTTCTGAGAAATCCAGGCCACATAAGAAAAGCTTAGTAAGAAGACATCTGTATAAATGCCAATTGAGTTACATGGAATGCAAAGGGAGAAATTCCTACTAGGAATTACAAAATTAACACAACTTATTCATTCAACAATTAAGCCATATTATGTGCAAGATCTAGAATTGAATGCCACAGAACATGTCAAGACATACAGGGCATGACTGCTGACTTTTAAGGAACTTCTGTCTGGTGGCCCTAGGAAACGGAGCAGGAAAGACACCAGGGCACACAAAAAGTTTAAAAAGTTGGAAGCAAGAACTCCTTCTTAAAACCTTAGCAGACTGTTATTAACGTCCCATCATCTACTGATCAACAGGGCAGCTGAAGCCACGCACGCCCCCCGTCTCCATCCGCAGCAGACGTACCGAACGAGGCTCGATGAGCAGCCCCTGGGATAACAAGGTCTCTCCCGTTCCGGTCTCCCGACAACGTAATTTTTGTAAGTGAGGGATGATCAATCCACCAAGACTGATGAAGTACCTAATCCTACAGGTACTTCTTTCTCTTTCCTTTCAACAGCTTTCTTAAATCACTTTTGACTTCTAAAAATCTTATATTGCAGTTTATAAATTGTAGAAATAGCTATTTAGATCAACAATGCTTATAATTTCTAGATATTAACTTCCTATACTGATTCCATCATTCAATTATCAGAGTTTTAATTAGCAAAGGGTAAGAATACCACCGTTACAAGGAAGCACTGTGAAATAATTAGAAGGTTGACACGCTTAAAACTTATTTCAAGACGTCTACCTGGCTTGAAGAATGGGTTTGAGAGTGACAGTTGCAATTCATTTTACAATTTAATTAGCTCATGAAGTTTTACATCAGCACAATGTTGCTGTATCAAAATATGCTTTTTGTTCTAAATATTTTGGCTGAAACAGCTGATGTGAAAGAAGGCAGCCTATGCATTTTTCTGTTAACTCTGGCCAGATGTATTCTTTAACTATTCAAGGTCACCTGTTGCTGTCCCTGCTCCAGCCGTGATCCCCCCGTCAGTTCCCAAGACACGCCACACCCCTCCATCCTGCTCCAGACGGTTCTATCCGGTGCTCCAACCGGATCCCTTCCCCATCCTTCCCCTGATACCAACCCCTCACCCCATTCCACCTGGCTAGTTATCACCTATTCCTCAGGTCTCAGATGGATATCCCCTCCTGAGGGAGTCTTCATTACCCCACTACCCCCATTCTCCCCAGTAAGGTTCTGTTCGCCCAGTAGGCCTTCCCATGGCACCTAATGCCTCCTCACGGCTCTCTACACACTTACAGTTATTCAACTGCAACTTTTCCTTATCAGCTATGAAATCTGTAAGAACAAGGAACCAACAGTTTGATTCACCAACGTACTGGTGCTCAGTTGGTCACCTGAGCTATCCTGACAGTTTCCTCCTATTAAGAAAATTAAAGTTGTGCTTAATTTTACCTATTGTTTTCTAATACTGCATAATGTATCTCTAAAATTTAAATGTATATTCACTCTGTAAGTACAAATGCAAGATTTCATTTTCCTAAAAAGCACGCAAAGTTTTTAATATTTTAAAATTAGGTTTAGATGTAAGATTATGCTGACTCATAAAAACATAAGTAATTATAAAAAGAATTAACACCTGAAACATGTTTGAAAATTATCCTCCAGGAAATCTGCTGAAGGCTAGGCCAAAAAAACTGAGCACTGTCCTAAAAGCAGGAGGGACAGAGAGGTACACTTAAAAGACACCACCCAGATACATGCCCTTCCCCTTCTGCGATCAGGGGTCAGGACGCATACTCACTAAGAGAACATGGATTCTTGAAAATACGTATCATTCTGCTTAGGAGTGTAGCAAAAAGGACAGGCTGGCGAAATGTGGATGAGAAAAGTAAGCAGACAATTTATTCCTAGTCATCGGAAGACTTTATTGTAAAACACTGAAAACTTTGTATTAGACAGTTTTATAAATTACAATAAAAAAATTATGCTATACATGATCAATAACGAAAGACACGGTATTACCTAATATTCCCATATCTGTCCATACTGAAAGAACCATGCTTGACCACCATCTTGAAAGGTGGCTGGTGTTAGCAAGGCTTCCAACCATCATATGATCAGGGCCTTTAACAAAGCAATCCAGTCTCTCCAGTGTGTCACTAATGGGATTGAAACAAAAAGGTGATTCTGGCTACACTGAAAAGCATCAAATAACAAGGGGTTATTACGCTTAATGACGAGAATTTCGTGTGCACCTTACTACATGTCAGCACGGTGGGGGAGGCTTTCCACGTGTCGTCTCGTTTACTCCTCCCCGACACCCTGAAACGCAGAAGGCATCCCCATTTCCCAAACAAGGAAGCAGGTTCAGAGGGTTTGCCCAGTGACATAGAAATGCCACATAGGAAAGTTAGAATTTAATTCTAAAGCCGATGCTGCTTCCTTTAAACCTCGCTGGGGAAGGAAATGTTTAATGAGGTATGACAGTAAAACTGCAAACCAATACGGACTCTCTTTTCTGAAACCCTGCACTCTAAAATCACGCTCCCACACAGAACGCATATGCAAACAGAACGGAGCAGCCCAGGGACGGGAAGGTCGGGCGGCTCCGTCGCTCGCTCACTAGCCCTCTCTCTCTGCCGCAGGATTCCAGTCCAGCCCCGGGGCGCCCTCTCATCTGCCACGGGGCAGGGCCTTCAGGACACCGGACACAACCTCTGGTCCACGCCTGCCAAGGCCCACTGTTTGTGATCATAATCCCTACATCTTATTCTAAGGACTAAAGCAGAAATAACTGCCCATTTACTGCAGGACAAAGCCCACAATGAATCATGTTAATGCTGGGGACCAAGGTTTTCTGGGTAAGAGAAATGAGATTCGAGTGTAATTCGAAAGTTTTAAAGGTCTGTAATATTAAACTTGAACTGGAAGCATTAATGTCAAATCATGACTTATTTTTAAGGTACTGTATTTCCAAGCTCTTTCAACTAGAAGCAATGATCAAGTAGCAGCAAACAGCATCCCAAGCATCCAAGATACGCTTTCTAAATACCATTCCCCATAAAAAAGATCAGAGCTCCTTAAAATATTGGCTGATTTGGGTCTGGGAAAAGCAACAGAAACACGAGCCTAGGAAATCCTGAACCAAAAAAACAAGGAACTTATCAAAGACTGATGAATCACATCTGAAGGACACTAGACTGAGCTTACAGGGACCCCCACTGACAAAATTTGGGCCAGCCTGAGCATCAAAAGAATAGAGTATAATTGAAAGACACGGAATATATAAAAATCTTTGAATCTATGTAACAATATTCCAAAAACTGACAGCCTTACCCAATTGGTGTGGGGGGGGGGGGACCCTCTCATTTGCTACCACTGGAGGTGATTATTAAACTAACTCTTTACTCTAAAAATTGGTCCTTAAAAAAAGAGCCAATTATTTATCCTGTCTTTTCAGTAGGAACTACAACAAAGATTAATCAAGGAGCCCAGCGAATAAGGTAAAGTGCCTTTACACAGAAGAACGCCAGGTTATAAACGTAGAAGAAAGGATGCAGTAACAAATACCACCATTCTGCTGTCCCGGACAAAACAACTGGTTCAAATGGTCCTTAATGGATACTAAAATCATTGGACCAAAGACTTATGAGGAACTAGGTACTCACATTATCAAAGTACCACACCTCACAGATTACCTGTTAGCTGCAAAGGGAAAAAAAGCTACCCTTCCCTTAGAGCCACCTGGCTATCATAATCTTAAGCAATCAAAATTAACATCACCATTAAAGATGAAACCAGAGAACGAATACATTCTGACATAATGCGATATGAAGTACACTACAAAATCTTGTGCCAAAAATATTTAACTTAGCTCTGGCTGGTGTAGCTCAGTGGGTTGAGCACCAGCCTGCAAACCGCAAGGTCCTGGGTTTGATTCCCAGCCGGGGCACAGGGTCAGGTTGCAGGCCAGGTCTCCTGTTGGGGCGTGCAAGAGGCAACTGACTGATGTTTCTCTCCCTCTCTTCCTCCCTCCCTTCCCCTCTCTTTAAAAAGAAATAAATAAAATAGTAAAAAATATATATTTAACTTAAATCTAATCAAGGCTTTAGATCTAATTTTCAATTTGCAAGGAACAGACGGATATAAATCAAGTTAAACACCGTCCTAAACAAAGATCCAGATGAATCCAGAACGTGGGACATTCTACAAGACAGTCACCATCACACCTTCTGGACCAGACCCCCACCAAATTGATGTCAGGGAAGAGAGGCAGTGGGAGGGAACCATCCTGCACTGAGAGAGATTTAAGAGGCGTGACAAGCAAATGCAACGTGGGCCACCTCTCAGCTCATGCACTAGCCTCGTTAGCGGACACTATGTTCTCAGCACCTCCTCCAATGTGAATGTCCATGAAAAGCAAACGAGAACAGAAAAGAACATTTTCGTTACCTTTCCAGCCCACGGGAGTTAGTATTTCCCTGTATTTTACTCACCTCCACTTAGCAGCTTCATGACTAGCCACAGCTCATCTTTTACTACGAAAGACGTGTAGTAAGACACAATGTTAGGGTGATGACACTGACTCATGGCTTGAATTTCTTTCTACAAAGAAGAGAAAACACGGTAACTCATTACATGCAGGCATAAAACAATACTACCAGTTAGTGAGTACCGGCCGGGGATCCCAAGACTCTGTCACCGCCGTTCCGGGACCTCCGTGGCTCTGACCTCTACCAGAACAGTGGAAACCGGAACCAGCCCGCCTCCCTCAGGGCACGGGGACTCTGCGCCCTCCACTCGCTACTCTAGTAACCTCTGACACGGGAAACGTGCACCACTCGCCTCGCCCCGGCCCGGCACAGCACCCAGGGCCCAGGCAGGGACCCGTGTTTCCACTTCAGGGTGCCCTTGAGAAACCACCCTGGGAAATCGGGCTTTATAGCCAGAGAGGATAATTACAAATAAAGTTTTTTGTTTGTCTGTGGGTCATTTATTTATTTCAAAATGTTGTTTCATACCACTTTTGTGAAATGATCAACAATTCTCACACTACAGGGAATAGACTGAGACAGGGCAAGGTCATAAACTAAATCCAAAGGAGAAGCCGGTGCCAAAAGTCTAAGCTTACACAATCTCCATTAATAAATCTAAATTAGATCAGGTATAATAAAATGCCTTATAAAGCCCTGTGCTGCCTCTCTAATCTCATTCCTATTCCCTCACACCTCACACCCCAAGATATCCCCGTCCTAGTAACTTCAAGTGAGCCCTGCTGCTTCTAACCACGGACACTGCACCCTGGTGGTCCCTCTGCCTCAGATACACTTCTCTCACGGTTTGTGCCTAGCTGAAACAGCCCATTCCTCCTTCTGAACGCAGTCCCCCCAGCTCCCCGGGTTGAGTTAGGTGTCGCTTCTCTTGGCTCCCTATATATGTCCTTCCATCATGGCATGTGTGTACTGAATAGCAGTACCCTGGGTGCTTGTCTATCTGCCCCTTCTTGCTAGATGGAGAGTTCCAGGAAGGCAAGCACTTAAAAGTGGATTCCTTCCCTGGCCAGGTGGCTCAGTTGGTTGGAGCGTTGTCCCATACACGAAAAGACTGTGGGCTGGATCCCTGCTCAGGGCGTGTACCTAGGTTGCAGGTTCCATCCCAGGTCAGGGCATGTACGGGAGGCAACTGGTCAATATTTCTCTCTCTCCCCCTTCCTCTCTCTCTAATAACCAATAAACATATCCTTGGGTGAGGATTTTAAAAAAATTAATAAAGACTCAGCTTTGTAAAAGAGTGGATTCCTAAACACTGTGGAACTTACGTGCGACACCACAATTGCCTATTTACTTTTCTGTGTCCCTCACAAAACTGTAGGCTCAACGAGAACTAAGACTTTCCGGCACTTATCATTGTGCCTGGCACACAGTACACCTTCAATAAATATTTGCTGAATGAATGAATCCTACGGCACTTTATACAGGCTTTTTTACTGATTCGTGTATTTGACCTCGGTGTTTGTTCAGTAAAATCAATCGTGTAAAAGCTGCTCATAATCCCTGCTTCACATGAAGTACTCAATACATGCCAGTTTCTCTTTCCTCATTGTCTCTACTTGAATGTAAATTGCTTTACAGCAAAGACCTTGTGGTTTGTATTTTTGCAACACCCAAAGTCGCCAGCACTATACTCTGTACTAAAAGCTAAGTAAACATGAAGGAAAAGGAAGAAGGAACTAGAGGAGCACCTGCCTGCTGATACAGTTACGCAGGACTAGAAGAGATAAGGTGAGTACAGGAGCGGAAATACATAGGACGGCACACACATGCCCAGTGAGTAGTAAAGATAATAAATGTTACAAAGATCTACAGGAAACCGTTAAGGTAGGCAAAAGTCTTCACACAGGAGGTGGGAACCAGGTTTCCTTCTGCTGGATGTGAAGATATGACAGAGGACAAGGTGAAAGGCACAGGTAATCACAACAAAAGGTGGAATGTGCAAGAGACAGCATAGGACACGAGTAACCCTGCCTGGAATAAAGAGTTCGTGCTTCCAACAGGTGTTTACCGCGTGCCTCCTACATGCCAGGTACAAGGCGAGGTACCTTGGAGTCTGGTGAAGAAGTTAGACAAATAAACTGTTTTCCAACACAGACCGATAAACAGTTTGATAGGGGAAGTATAAGATATTACGTGACTTCATCGGAGAGTCAAATCATCAAAAAACAGGACTGACCATCAGGGAAGGCTTCCCCAAGAAGTTTCAGTCCACTGAGACGGGTCAGAGCCTCCCTGCCCTGGTGGCCCAAGACACCTCCACAAAGGCCTCCGGCTTCGTCCTCGGGAGCACTCCTCCGCCTCTTCCTTGCACAGGACTTGATGCCTTTCCTAGGCACTCGTCATGCTCTGCCCCGCACAGCAGAGCACCTAGTCTTCGACTGCACTGGGAGCCTCTTGGTAGAAGAAGAGACATTTTGAGCCTCTTTGTGTACCCCGCGGATGTCTGCCCAACGAATCGAGTCCTAGCATCCAGGAGAGAACAATCTCAAAGTGCCGCACTGTGTGTGCCCTTCGGAGAGAGAAGCCCGTGAGTCAAGTCTCCGGGGAAAATAAATTTAGTAAGAGCTGACGGCTGAGTCTCCCATCACACTTAGCACAGGCTGTCAGACAAGAAAACGTTTTGACAAGAGAAAGGAGTAACATCCCGCCCCCTCAGAGGTAACTGTCACACACGGCGCACACCTGTAGCCGGTTCACCTCGCCCTCTCTGGAGAACGCAGGGCACGCTTTTGCGTTAAAATAAAGAATTTTGAAAACAAATTTTTAAATCACCACATCTCAAGGTTACTGCATTGATCTACTAGTTTTTTTAAGGTAAACTGAGGGGCTTCAACTCTCTCTGCAATGCAGCCCCTGGCGCAGGGATCTCTGGTTCCAACACCGTGAACACACAGATAAATCAGGCAGTATTCATACTCCTCGGGTGTCTCCTGGGCTTAGTGGGGTCTTACCTGCTCCCCAGCCCTCCAAGGAAAGCCAATTAATCTTAAACTTGCTTTACTAAAAGTCGCTTATTTGCCAAATATATACATATTACATTTGCAACATAAAGCTTACTGGAATATGTGGCCAAAATGCAAGGAGATCTAACTAATGTTTTTCCTTTTATTAAGCTGTATCAAATTTCCATTCCTCTAAAAGACAGGCCCTACTGTACTGACACAAATGTTACTTTCAAGAATGTCAGATTATATTTTAGAACCGATGTTCTTTCCAATTTTGAACTAAGATTATAACCATTTTGTTAGTATCATATGAAACGGAAACAATAGACTTTAATCAGAAAGACCTAATTTTTAATCCACACTCTGTCACTTATCATATGATTTCCTTGCCTTGCCTATGAAATGGAGCCGCCGCCTAGCTCACAGAGACATTTACGGGGTTAAAGTGCATGTAAGTGCCTAGCACTGAACAGGTGTTTGCTATTTATTATCTTCATGGGAACTTAGTCAAGTTACTTAAACTTTGTGCCACAGTTTCTTTGGTCAAGAAGTAAATACTTTCATTCATTTTTACATATTATGTAAAATAACTGGCAAATGATAGGAATTTGTATTAGGCTTCTCACACTCCAGGCTTAGTATGTAAGTTACAAACTCTACTTTTCTTTAACAGAATGAGTGTACAACGTGGACTTCTTTCGTAATCACTGCCACTCGAATGTCCAAATGATGCTCGCAGGGGTGTCTAAACTTTTGGCATCTTCTGGGCGACACTGGAAGAAGAGGAGCCGTCTTGGGCCACGAGTTAAATATACAAACGCTAACAAAACCAAAAAATCTCATGTTTTAAGTAAATGTACAATTTTGCACTGGGCTGCAATTCATAGCCATCCTGGGCTGCGTGAGGCCCGCAGGCTGTGGGCTGGACACCCCTGCACAGTGTTACTGGCACCTGTAAACCTAAGGTCATCACACAGGATTTCAGTCAGCTTCTCCTTCCAAGTGAGTGTTCTCCCACCACAGACAGCTCAAGGTCACTCCAGGAACCGACTTCTTCAGCTTCTGCCCCTGCACTGCCAATGCCTGAAGAAACACATGCATCTCATCTTCTAAAAGTTCGATATATAATTCTAGTCTCTTTCTTTTTATTCCAATTATTCCCTAATACTCAGTACAGACTACACCAGAAATTAAATCCAATCTGGGACACTGGGAAAAACTTCTGGACTGTCAGATTATGCCAGTCTGAATTTCTGCTCTTTCTATCGCTCGCTGTATATGATCTCAGAGAAATTACTTAATAAAATAGCAATATCTGTTCATATTTGTATGATAATTTATATAGTTTTGGAGTACTGTGTCACTTGATCTTCAAGAAAAGTCTCATGAAATCCATTTTGAGCTGAAGAAATTGAGCATTTAAAAAATTAAATGTTTTGAAAAACCATCTTATTTCCCTTGTCGAGCAGTTACTACATCTTTAAAACTACTCTGTGCGTCATGGTGCATAAAAGGAGTCCCAAACAACCCTGGTGTGACTGGCTTTCAATGCCACAAAAACATCCCTCACAGCTGTGGGTCCTCGGGACTCCCTTCTTCTCCCTTCCCCCAGCCTTGGCAGAAGCCAGCGCTGCCCGCGGGCATCCTCTCTCCCATCCCGCATCAGTGGTCAGAAAACAGGTTCCAACCATGTTGTTAGGGGAGCAAAGCCTTTCCACAGATATTCCATTTGACCCAGGAATCACAGTCGCATTACATTATGTTAAGGGAAAAGAGAAGTAAGCAAGCATCGTTTATAACAGTAAAAGAGAGGAGGCAAGGTAATTGTTCAATACTAGAGAACGGGGTAAATAAAGTGTGGTCTACCTACTTAATGGGATACTGCCCACATGTTGAAAATTGTATTAGTCCATATGTAGAGACACAAAAAGAACACTGCGATAAATTTTTCAATAAAAAGAACAAGTATATGATCATATTATCATAAGCATCCAAAGATGCTTAAATGTGCAGCCTGAAAGATTGCACAGCAAGTGCTAGCTGATCTCAGAATGAGAGGATTATAACTATGTATTTTCTCTCTACTTACCTGAATTTTTATATATTTTACAATAAACGTTACTATTAATGTTTTTAAAAAGGAATAAGAAACTTCTCATTATTCCCCACTCTAACATGAAATGTACAAGACTCTGCCGCTCCCCCTTAAGAAACAGGAGGCACGCATACCAGAAGCTCATCCATGCTCGTCTGACACTTCTCGAGGTTTATCCGTTTGATTGCCACTTTCTCCTTTTTAGGGCCACAATATGCTGCTTGGACCACAGCCGTTGCTCCACTCCCTAAAGATAAATACATAAATGAGTACATAAATAGATGGGTAGATAAAAACATAACATTTCTAATTCCCACACAATTTAAACAAGTAAAGTTAATCCTTATCTTGTTCCTACACTCAACAGATGCACAGAAACACTCCAAGAAACAGGGTGTCTATAAAAACAAAAGACTTAACCATTTCACAGAACTGCCAATAAATACCAGTACCAAAGGAAAAGAAAAAAAGAAAAAAATCAAAACTGCTAGGTTTCCAGTTCTAGACTTTGATGGGGTAGGCCCACGTGTCCCTGCTCCTCTGAATACACGAGAGATAATTCAACCATCGAAACCTGACTCTGTAATGGAGAGAGAAGGCGAACTGGCTGGGGAGCTCGGAGTGCGAGGAAGAGCACCACTGCGAGTTCACCGGGTTTTCCTGGTGTCTCCCCTATGTCCACGCGTGGGCACCGGGGCAGCCTACCACCTGAAACAACCAACCGGGGTAGACAGATAAATACAAGAGAAAACCCTGTTTTCTGGCTAAAGGACTTCCCAAAACAGAAGCTCAGCAAAGACCCGGAGGGAGAGAGATTCCCCAATTACCCAGGACAGTGGAGGGCCCAGCCCAGCCCACCACAGCATGAGCAGGGCCTCCACCCCCGACCCAGACCCAGGCAGCAGGAGGCCAGATCCACCGCAGGGGCAACTAGGTCCCTGTCCCACACCTGGGGCAACATCCAGCCAAACTGCCCTTAGCAGCGGCAGAACTGGGAACCCGCGCCGCCCGCCCACCAGTCAGCCCAGGTAACACGTGTACAGATCAAACAGGAGTTCCTGTGGCGCCAGACGAACAAAGCAACAGAGACTGGTACCTGCAAGAGTTCTGAAAACTAAATTATCATAGGAACTACACAGCTCACAAAAGTAGGCCAGGGCCTACACACTAAATCTAAATAGATTAACTGCGTACTAAAACAGAAGACTGAACCAGAATCAAGAGTCTCCTAACATCAGTACCCTAAATGTCCAGGATACAATAAAAAATAATAATTATAATCACATGTCATACCAAGAACCGGGAAAAACACACTTATATGAGAAAAGACATTCACACTGATGTCAACACCAAAATGAATCACAAGTTGGAGAATTTTAAAGCAGCCATTATAAAAATGCTTCAATAATTGGGAATTCTTTTAAAGCAATAAAATAATGAAAAATCTCAGCAAAGAAATAGAAATGATAAAAAGTACCAAATGAATTTATACAACTACAACATACAGTTTCCAAAATAGTTTACTCAATCTAAACAACAGACAGAAAATAGACGACAAAAAAAAATCCCACAGATCCTCAGGTGGGATGATAATAATAAAAGTTCTAAAGTCCAATAATGCCCTCCCCAAGATGTACAGGCCCTAATCCTTGAAACCTGTGAGCGTTACCTTATATGGCAGAAACTCTGTGTGTTATTAAGTTACATGAAGGGTACAGAGATTATCCTGGATTATCTGGGTGGGCCCAATGTAAACAGATGGGGTCAGGGTGATTCGAGCGAGCCCGGGCCAAGGAGCAAGTACTGACACTTGAAACAACGTGGGTGAACCTTGAAACCATAACCCCACAAAAGGTGAAAAATCACGGAAGACCACACAGTGTATGGCTCCATTTACACGAAGTGTCCGGGAGGGACACATCTGTGGAGACAGAACATAGATTAGCCACGGCCGGTGGCCGGGAGAGAGAGCGGGAAGTTACTGGTTGATGGGTCCCGGACTTCTTCCCGGTGTGATGGACGGCGTGATGGGCGTGCTCTGGGGCCGGATGGTGGTGGCGGCTGACGAGCACTGTGAATGTACTAGCATCCACTGAATTGTACGCTTTTAAAATAGTGCATTTTACGTCACGTGACTTTCACCTCAGTTTTTTAAAAAGATAAGGAAACACTCCAGATTACTTTAACTCGCAATTCTACAATTTAGACAAAAAAAAAAATGGACCGAGTCTTTGAAAACAACTAACTACCAAACTCAGCCAGAATGAAGTAGGTAACTTAAATAATCCTGTAACTATTTTAAAAATTAAATTTGTAATTTACAAGTTCTCCAAAAAAAGAAACGCCACAGATGGTTTCAATGGAGAATCTTACCAAACACTGAAAGAATTAATAGCCATTTTATACAATGTTTTCCAAAAATGGAAGAAGTGGGACACTTTCCAACTTAGTTTATGAAGCCAGTGTTACCAAGACCAAAACCAAACAAAGGCAGCACAAGAATACTACAGACCAGTATCTCCCAGGAACTAACTCAGCTGCAAAATTCTTAACAAAATATGAGCAAACCAAATTCGGCAATGGATAGTACAGCACAACCGAGTGGTATGTGTACTCCAGGGACGCAAGGCTGGCACGGTATGTTTTTAATCAAAAATCAATGTCATGCACGATATCAATGGATTAAGAAAGAAAAATCATCTGATCATATCCACATAGAAAAAACATTTTTAAAAAATCCCACATCATTCATGATAAAAAGCTCTCAGCAAACTAGGAATAGGGGAAAACTTCTCCAACTTCATAGAAAACATCCACAAAAAATCTTTACAGCTAGCAGCATGCTTTACGATGAAAGACTGAGCGCTGCCCCTGGGGGACCCGGGAAGGCAAGGACGCACCTGCACCCACCACTCTTACTTACGACAGCACTGGGGATCCTAGGCACCACAACCACATGACAAGGAAACAAACAAACAAACAAACAAATAAATAAATAAATGGCATCCAGAAAAGAAGAAGTAGAACTGTCCCTATTTGTAAATGACGTGATTGTCAATTAAAAAAAAAAAAATCCCAAGGAAAGTACAAGAAAAACTCCCAGGACTAAAAAGAGAGTTAGCAAGGTTGCCAGAAATAAGATCAACACACTGAAACCAACAGCGTTTCTGCAAACCCACAGCACACAAGCAGAAACCAAAATTTTACAACACGATACCGTTTACAATTACTCCCCCACAATGAATGCTTAGGCACCAATCCAATAAAATCTGAACAGAACACATATGCTGAGTATTACAAAATTCCAATAAAACAAAGACGGCCTAAATAATTGAAGAGACACACTGTGTCATGGATTTTAAAAACTCAACACAGGAAAGATGTCAATACTCCCCAAACTGACTATTTATAGCTTGAACACAATTTTGAAAATATTTCATCTCTTTAAAGCAGGTTCCTTCATATGAAATTTTTCAAACTACAAATCGACTTACTGGCTTTTACTATCATTTGTCTTAGAGTAAAAAGAATCAAACAGAAAATATTAGTATGCCTTCCACGTAGTAAAAGAAAATGTTACTTTATAAAACTTCTATTTCAGTATAAATACACATACAAATGTGTAAAAGGTATCTCTTAGAAATGGTTCAGTCAAGGTGTGAAACTACTGCTTCAATGGCCTCTAGTAAGCATCAGCCTAACAGGAAGAATAATATAATGGCAAGGATAAAACAACTTCCAAAGTGTCGCAGGTTCGATTTCCAGTCAGGGTTCATGCCTGGGTTGCAGGCCATGACCCCCAGCAACCGCACATTGATGTTTCTCTCTCTCTCTCTATCTCCCTCCCTTCCCTCTCTAAAAATAAATAAATAAAATCTTTAAAAATAAATAAATAAATAAAACAACTTCCAATAAAACATTCTAGTTTAAACTTTCCCTGTTTTACACTGTTATGCATTTCAATGCACCGCCCCCTACACCCCCACTTCTTCCACGCTTCTGTCCTCCGCTGGCTAGTTCTCTAACTGCAGAATTAGCGTCCATTACACACCAGAATGGATCCATGCACAAAATATAAGTGAACCTTCTCCTGAAATCCTTCCTCTCCTGAGACAGAAAAGGAGCTGCCCAAAGGTATGATATGGGAACTAAAAAAACTTTCAGAGTCTCTCTCCACTTTACTAGACTCAGGAATTTAAAAAAGAAGGCAAAAAATGAGTATTATTCCTATCAAATGAACCAAATCATTTGAAGATATTTTCCCCAAATTTTAACCAGCCATCATTATAGGAGATACATAGTCAAAAGACTTTGTTTTTAAGTATTTTTTAAGTAAGGTTTTGCATTTACTACAGAGCTAGCCCCGACTGTTCTTTATGCAAGATGACTATGGCACTGTCACCTGAAGCATGAAAAATACAGGCATTTACAATTTTGTGAACCCTCTTCTACAATAAATAAGGCCTCTTGTCAGAGTCAAGCTGAAAATTAAAGCTCCTAGAACCAGTGAAACGGCTGTAAGAATGGTCATAAAAATCGCGCTATTCTGGCCATACAAAGATGAAAGTAAAGGCACACGGCCATGTGCTTTGAGGAATCACCCAAGCAGCCTGACGGTTTTGCAATGAATCATCCCTTTCTCTCCTGCCCAGTCCAGTGAGCTTCCATCTCAATGGACTGTAACTCCATCCGTCCAGAGGCTCTAGTCAAAAATCTTCAACTCTCGCATCTACCCCAACAGTACATCTCTAATTTCAAAGTATGTTGTATCCAGCATCTGACTGCTTCTTACTACTTCCACTACTACCTCTCTCTCCTGGATAACCTCTCCTTCCACCCTTCAGCCCTTACAACACTATTCTCCATGGAGCAGCCCAAGTCATCCTTTTAAAACATAAGCCAGATCACAGTAATCCTCTGCTCAAAACCCCGCGATGATTTTCAAGCTCACTGGAAGCACAGCAGTGCCCACAGTGGCTTACAAGGCTTCACCCGACCTGATGGTCAGGACCGCACACCCCCACCCACCACCCTACTGTTCTCCCGGCGGCCTCCACCTCCTGTCTCAGTCTGCTCTGGCCCCTCTCGCCTCTGTTCCTTAATCACACAGCATGCTTCTCCCTCAGTGCCTTGCTACTGCCGCTCCCTCTGCTAGGAAGGAACTTCCTGCAGATCACCACAACAGTCACTTCTTCACCTCCTTTGAGTCTTTCCTCAAATGTCACCTGCCTAGGGAGGCTTGCACTG